TTTTTGATGCATCATCTTCCACATCTGAGAGTTCCATATCTTCAACATCACGGTTATCAGTCACAGGCTCAGGTGTGGCAGACTTCTCGCTCTCCATGGTTGGTGACTGGGATTCCTCACCTCCCATTCCCTGAAAAGGAGACTCAGAACCAGTTGGGGAAGGAGCATCCATGCTTGGAGAAGGAACTGGTGATTCTTCAGGATCAGGAAGGGTTGACTTCAATTGATCCAGCTTTTTCTTTAAATTGTTCACTCTATTAGCAAAGGTTTTGTATGCCTAAAAGAGAAAAAGAAGAATTTACTCTTCTGAGAAAAGGACCAAGAAACTACCATTTAATCTTTGGCCAGATTTCCTCACTATTGTTAACTATATCACTGGTACAAAATAAGAAAATACCATCATCTATCAAGCATGGAGTAGTTTCCAATCTTTGCTTTTTGTATTCCTTAAGTGAGTATTACCATCCATGCAGTTGCCCAAGTTAGAAACTCAGAGGTTATCTACTTCATTCTCCCTTGATCTCCTATCCACCCAACCAACCAATATGTATCAAGAGCCAAATGTGTTGACCACTCTTCTAGGTGGACAATGAATGCATAAATAAAGTACAGCCTGGAAGATCAAATAATATTGTTTTTTTAAAAAATAAGCTTTTTATTTTAGAACAGTTTTAGGTATACAAAATTACTGTGAAGATAATACAGAAAGTTCCCCACACCTAACTTCCCCTTTTATTAACATCTAATATTAATATGATACATTTCTCACAATGAATGAACCAATTTTAATTAACTAAATTCCATGCTTTATTCAGGTTTCCTCAGTTATAAGCTGATGTCCTTTTTTAATTCCAGGATCCCAAGCAGAATACCTGTCTTGTCAATGGGTTTTAGCCCCAAGCCAGTTCACTATGGATTCAATGTGACCAAAGAAATGACAGTAGAATGTTCTTGGGGTGAAAGGATCACACCCAACTTTATTTCCACAGTGGCAGGTCAATCACTAAAATCTCCTCCACTCAGAGTGAGTCTGCACACAGCAAGCTGGTCTCTGCCTCTGGGCCTCTCTGCCCACACAGCTCTGGGCCTCTGTCCTTGGTGCTGCCACCACTCCAGCCTCTGCTCTGCTCTCCTACAGCCTTGCAGCTGTGCCACTGTGTCGTGCAGAGCACTGGGCGGAGCTCTTTACATAGAGTCAATAACGATGTATTGCCCACACATGTGTAGTGAGCTAGTCAACCACGGCCAGGTGAGAATCCTGGCCACAGGAACCTTCATTTTATCCACAATCCCACAGTACATTCAGCAGTCATGTCTCCTTAAGCTCCTCTTGTTTGTGACAATTTGTTACAACTTTCTTTGTTTTTTTTGATGGTCTTGACAATTTTTGAAGAGTATTGGTAAGGTATTTTGTAGACTGTCCCTCACTTGAGATCTCCTTGGTATTTTCAGGCCACAGAGGTAAAATCATCAAATCATATAAAGGATATATACAATCAATATGATTGATGTTCCATTTTTTATGTTAACCTTGATCACCTGGCTTATTTCCTTCTGATTTGATTATCTTAATTGCCAATACCATAAAGCTGTGTATCTTTCTCTTTCTCATTAACTCTTCTTAAGTCTTGAACCATCAAATTACAAAATCATTTGGGTTAGTCAAACAAGAAGCATTATTTAAAAAATGGAATGGAACAGAAAAGAATATACTAGAATTGAGCTTTTGCTTCTGGCTATAATTAAATAGCATGTAGTAGAGCAATGCTCCCACCACAAACTAGAAAAGCTGGATGTATACACGTACATATTTATACATGCTTGCACACACACACAGCTTTGTTTGAATGTACTGGAGAATGCTGAGGCAAACCAAGACCTAAGTGCAAATCCTTCAGCAGGAGGAAACCATGAGGAGAGCTAAGATGACATTCTGCAGCTGCCTTTTTTTTTCAGGGTTGTGCTGACTTTGGGGAGCTAGGCAAGAATTTGAGAATTCAGGCAGAAGGATAAGGGAGAGGGCCACTACTAAATATAAAGAAAAAAGCAAAGCTTTTAACAGTCTCCCTGTTCTGTTTAGATAAAAACTAGAGACTTGAAAGGTCAAGATTCTGATGAAAAAGGAAGAACAGAACTGGCTCAACAACATGCTATTTTTTTCCTTCAAGATATCTGCTGAATTTGAAGCTGCAAAAAAGGAAATCAATAAGCCAAGCAGAAAACTTCTGAAAAGCAGAGTAGAGTTTAACACAGTCTTATGGTGCTGAGGAGACAAGGATTACAGTTCAAATCATACAGTGGAGAAGGGGCCCCAGTGAACAGGCCAGGCTCTCAGTGGGAAAAACCTGTGTCCTAGAAGCTGGGATGAACTGGAAGATAAAGACTTGGCCAAACTGCAGTTCAGCTTTAAGTCAGTTCAGCATCTGCTTAACATGGTCAGCTCTCATAGTATCTGCCTTGCAAAGGGTGAATCCTCTCAGAGGAAAATATGTCACCCAGAGACTCTGTAAATACTTTCATATACAATGTTCAGTTTATTACTGAATAATAAAAAGTTAGGAGGCATGCTAAGAGATAGGACCAAATGACCTAAAAGAAAAAACAGACAATAGAAATACTCATAACAGGTGAAACCAATACCAGAATTACCTGATAAAAACCAAATAGTTGTGTTTTATATGTTCAAGTAAATAAAGAAAAATCCTTTCTTCAACAATTCAGTCCAAAATCCATTAGTTGGAGCTTAACAGGAAGGCTTGGTGTCTAGAGTTAAAATAATGGAGCCAAAATGGGGTGAGGAAAATGTCTGCATGGGAGGAAGGCATTGCATGGGATGTTGAAGCCTAAGCAAGATAAAGAAGTGGCCAGAGAGGGACATAAGTGCTGGGACACTGACTACACACAAGGGGATTTAACACATAAGAGGTTACGCTGAAGATAAGGGGACCAAGGTTTTGCACTGTTAGAGAAAGCAATTACTAATGTGGAAAGGAAGGAAACTAGAATGAACCTTATGGTGTTGATTTGGGACTGGAGGTAACAGTGAAAACTCGTGGTTTTCAATATATATAGAGAGATACAGAAATACAGATGTAAATGTATGTGTATATGGTTAACTATGTATACGCATACATGTATTTCCTAGCTCTGTCTACACTACACCGTCTGGCAGCAGTGATTCCAACAGCAACAGGTACACCTTGTACTCAGATCTTGGTTTCTAATACTTTTTTTTTACTAAAAAGAACCAGGGTTCCTTGGAGAAATGACTGATTCCAGGGCTGGGCAGTGAAATGCAAGATGAGACTGGAATACCTTATTCCAAAAGTAAGGAAATACTAAAAAAATGATGGAGACATGTCAAAAGAACACATAAAGCAGCCTTGAAAGGAGCTCCCACTGGCCAAATCTGGGACAACTTGAGCATCAGAATAATTATCAGTACAGATGAATTAAAACATTGGATAGGACTCTGTAAATCCATACTGATACACATAAATGATTAAATGAAAGTCTGATGAGGAACAAGATATTTAGATAGTTTCAAAATACCTCCCCACAGAACACTCATTAATTACTATATTAGTTTCCTAGGGTTGTGGTACTAAGGTACCACAAACAGGGTGGCTTAAAACAACAGAAATTTATTATCTCATAATTCTAGAGACTAGAAGTCCAAAATCAAGGTGTCAGCAAGGCTATGATTTCTCTGAGATGGGCAGAATGCTNTAAGTGAAGAATTCAAGGTTTCTACTGTAACTATAGGATGATAATAGAAGGACTAAAAGAGAGAAGTCATAAACATACCAATCTCTCAAACTCATTATCCCTGAAATCAGTAGAGGATATCCAGTTAAGTATTATTCTCTATGGCTAGTGCCAGTATACGGGAGATGTGGATAATTATTTAACAGTATTTGGTGCTATGTCACAACATTCTCCTATATTTTAAGACAAAGTTCACTATAACACAGTGCTTGGCTAATTCACACTTACAGAACAGTTCAGAAAGTAAGAAAAACTCATGTATCTGAACAGCTCCCTATACATACTAACCAGGGCTTTTCAACCTCAGCACTACTGACATTCTGGGCTCAATGAGTCTTCACTGTGTGCTGTCCTGTAGCATCCCGGGCACCAGCCCATGAGCCACAATAGCACCCTCTCTCCACCCCAGTGTGACAAAAATATCTTCAGACATTGCCCAATGTCCCTTGGAGGCTCCTGGTTGAGAGCTATCAAATTATAAAGTAAATCGCTATATTGAAGATACTACTCTGGTATTGGTGATTCGTTGTGTAATTATACTGAGGTACTTAATAACAAAGGCTGTGTTGCTATCTGGAGGATCTGAGAACTGAGAGCAGGTAAGCTTTATGAAAAAAGTTAGAAGCAGACAGTTCTAGGCAAAAAGGAATAATGAGCAAAACTGAATAGTAGAGGTAGAGATTATAGGTAGGCAAAACCAAAAAATATATACTGTATCTATATATGGAGGCCTCTATAAAACATTAGGACATAAAAGAGATATTCATGTCTCATAAGATTTTTGATAACAGAATGTCCTTTCTTACTGTCTTTAGTTTGGGTTAACATTAAAATATATAAATCTCAACATACATTAACCTGTACTAAGAGCTGGGATAAATGCAGCCCTTAGGATTGTCATGGAATAGTGAAAGAATACTAGACTCCAGTCAAGAAATCTGGCTTTTAGTCTCGGCTTGTCACTGAATAGACAGATGTGTGACCTTGAGCAGCTTACATCATCTCATTGAGCCTTAACTTCCTCACCTGAAAAGGAGCGGAATAGACTAGATATTTATGTGTCTCTCAGCTTTGACATTTTATAATTCTATAAATGCAAGCTCATAGACGCACCATATAAAGAGAATAACGGACTAACTGTATTATACATTTCATGGCTTTGGATTACTCAGAAATGGAATCTAGGATTAAGCCAGAGACAATTCAAGTCCCTGTGGCACACGTCAGTTTACCTTGCAGTGCAGGGGCTGACTGTGTCTGGGTTTTGGAGAGAGCAGACAGAATGCTCTCTGGGGTGATCTCCACCTTGGAGAGGATATTTGCCAGAGGGTTGTGAGATGTTGTTGTAGCAGGTGCAGGTGTTTTCAGGCTACTGGTGAGGCTGCTGGGACTTGGAGTTCCCGGAGAAGGCCTTGATGCAGGACTGACCCCTGGTGGCAGAAAGATTAACTGAAGAAAATACAATTCAAAATGACCTTTAAATTCATGATACTCTGCACTCAAAAGTTAGGTATGTTGAACAGGAATTCTTCTATGTGAGATCCGCAAATGGTTCCTATTATGGCTTTAACAAAGAAAAATCCTGAAAATTAGGTTAAGATTTGCTCCCACCTCCTTGGAACACCCATAAAATGAACAAGTATTGTTCTATAGTGGTCAATAAATATCGTTGGCTAATTTTGATCAATCATTGCAATTGTATACTCAGCCACTGCATGATTCTATGTGCTTAATAAATTATTGCTTTTGAAAAGGCTTTTAAAATAAGATTATATAAGCAATCTCCTTTACATTGTTACTTTTTAAAACACGGAGTTGATTTTAATATAGGAAAAAAGGTATATAAAAATAAGATAAAATCAATTTGACTTTTGAAATGAAAATTAAAACATGATTTTTTTAAGACTGAATTTGACAAAAAGATTACAATACAATAGTGATGGACATGTTGAAGAACAATGGCAACTTTCATATACTTGGTACATAAAATAGTACATTTTTGGAGATCATTTTATAATAAGAAAAGACTTAAAAACCTACATGCTGATTGTTTTTGAGGCTTTTATCTTCTAGAAATATATATTTAAGTATTTATGAAGAAATGAAATAATTTTGACTTTCTTCAAATAATCAGGATTGGGCAGGACATAGCAGAAATAAGACTGGCCATGTTTTTCTACTGTTGAAGATGAGTGATGAGTATGTAGAGGTGCTCTACTTTTATAAATTTTCGTTGAAATTTCCATTAAGAAAAAAAGCCCTATATATACTCATCAACCATTTTAGGAAGAGTTGTGCATAAAATTTTAGCATCAAGGTTGTTCATTGCAGTGAAATGAACCTGTAATTGACAAGACCTTTATAATTAACTATTCTTTATATTCTTTATAACAGTGAAAAATTGGAAACATATCATGTTTAACAATAAAGGCTTAAATAAATTACTGAATGCTATATAGCTATTAAAATGATATAGATGAATATTTAATGACTTTCAAAAACATTTATGTGTGGTTAAATATTAAACAACTGGTTTCAAAACAGTATATGCAGTATGTTTCAATTACTGAAAGAAAAATTATTATGAATATTTAATCTCCCCATTCATATACACATATATTTGTAAGATGAGATATATAACCTGGTTTCCTTTGGGGTAGTAAGATTATGGATATTTATTTTAATCTCTTTATTAATTTTCTAAGTTTCTGTAATGACCATGTATTAGTTTTTGTTTGTTTTTTTATTAAGGTATCTGCACTCTTATGAAGGTTTCACATGAAAAATACTGTGGTTACTACATTTGACCATGTATTAGTTTTAATTTTAAAAATTACTTTTAATTTTAAAAAGTCAACAGAAGAACCAGACTGATGGTTCCATTGGAAATATGGCAATAGCTTTTTACCTTCTTTACTGGTTTTACTTACCAGTATTTTTCATGACTGATGTCAAGCTACTAAGGATGGAACTGATCTTTGCCAGGTCCACATTAGCCAGGTTTGGCAAAGCCAATGCTGGAGAAGGGGACAGAAGAGAAGTATTCACAGGTTTTGGAAGAGGTGGGGTTGCTGTCATGGTCGGCACTGGGGTACATGAAGAGGCCTTTGAGATGCTTTCTGTTGGCTTTGTAGATACAGAAGTGGACACAGCTGACTTCTCCACAGGTTTTTCCTTCCTGTCCTCTACTGTTCAAATAAAGAAAAGAGATATTACATCCTACTACTTTCCAGACTCTGCTTCCAATATGAGAGAGTATGCCTTAGTATTTCCTGATTTGGGGGTAAAAGTATTATATTTCAAAGAAAAACCAGTAACTTCCTGATTTTCTAAATAGTCATACTCTTTATGATCCTTCCTGTCTTTAATACCTGCTTAAAATAAAATTCCCAAATTCATCTTTCAGTTTACTTTAATGTTTTCTTTGTATCTAAGCTTCTGTGTATTAAATTTATACATTTCTGGAAGCATGTTATTTGGTAGCCATTCATATTCTCTTGATAATGATATCTTTGTCATAACTTGTCCTGTCTTTTCTGTTCCATTAACTGGGAGCATTCTCAGAGACAGAAACTCTGTACACCATCTTACTTTTCTTTGGCTTTCTGAAATTGGCCTATGGGGTGCAGTTAAGCACTAATTTGAAACTGCAGTATTTTAACTCTTGATGCCTTTGCAATATACTCCTTTTAATACTGTAAAGGTTATGCACTGTATGGACAGTACATTAAATTCAACAGAAGTCAAACATTTATAATTAATAAGAATATTATTATTATTAAGAATATTAGTAATTGTAAGGCAGGGATGTCAGAGAAACAATGTACCAATCCAGGTTTATTTTGAAAGTGTGGTTAACAAACTGTAGCTCTGGAATCTTATGTCAAGTGACAGAGAATAAAGAATTCCAGTATAAGTACCCCTCCCTCTAGAGAAAAGCTGTTCCACAGAAATATAATTCAGGCACATAAGTTTCAGTTTTTTAGTAACCACATTAAGAAAGAAGAAGAAACAGATACAATTAATTTTAACAATATATTTTATTTATCTCAATATATCCCAGATATTTTCATTTTGCTAAGTTATAAACATAATTAATGGGATATTTTTACTTTTTTGTGTAGTTAAGTTTCTAGAATCCAGTGTGTATTTTATGATTACAGCATATCTCAAGCTGTACAAGCCACATCTCAACTGCTCAATAGTCACATGTAGCTAAGTGGCTACCATAATGAAGAGCATAGATCTTAAGTCATGATTCCTAACCCCTGTAGCATACCACATCCTGAACCACTGTGCTCCACCAACAGTAATGCTACCCTGGTGTTCTAAACTTAACAAGGGTTGACCTATCTTTTAATAGTTGCCTGTGATAGATTTACTGGTGGGAAAGCAAAACAGATAATGAACAAGTTGTCTATTAATCACTTAAGAACATACCAATGATTTTTGATGCATCATCTTCCACATCTGAGAGTTCCATATCTTCAACATCACGGTTATCAGTCACAGGCTCAGGTGTGGCAGACTTCTCGCTCTCCATGGTTGGTGACTGGGATTCCTCACCTCCCATTCCCTGAAAAGGAGACTCAGAACCAGTTGGGGAAGGAGCATCCATGCTTGGAGAAGGAACTGGTGATTCTTCAGGATCAGGAAGGGTTGACTTCAATTGATCCAGCTTTTTCTTTAAATTGTTCACTCTATTAGCAAAGGTTTTGTATGCCTAAAAGAGAAAAAGAAGAATTTACTCTTCTGAGAAAAGGACCAAGAAACTACCATTTAATCTTTGGCCAGATTTCCTCACTATTGTTAACTATATCACTGGTACAAAATAAGAAAATACCATCATCTATCAAGCATGGAGTAGTTTCCAATCTTTGCTTTTTGTATTCCTTAAGTGAGTATTACCATCCATGCAGTTGCCCAAGTTAGAAACTCAGAGGTTATCTACTTCATTCTCCCTTGATCTCCTATCCACCCAACCAACCAATATGTATCAAGAGCCAAATGTGTTGACCACTCTTCTAGGTGGACAATGAATGCATAAATAAAGTACAGCCTGGAAGATCAAATAATATTGTTTTTTTAAAAAATAAGCTTTTTATTTTAGAACAGTTTTAGGTATACAAAATTACTGTGAAGATAATACAGAAAGTTCCCCACACCTAACTTCCCCTTTTATTAACATCTAATATTAATATGATACATTTGTCACAATGAATGAACCAATTTTAATTAACTAAATTCCATGCTTTATTCAGGTTTCCTCAGTTATAAGCTGATGTCCTTTTTTAATTCCAGGATCCCAAGCAGAATACCTGTCTTGTCAATGGGTTTTAGCCCCAAGCCAGTTCACTATGGATTCAATGTGACCAAAGAAATGACAGTAGAATGTTCTTGGGGTGAAAGGATCACACCCAACTTTATTTCCACAGTGGCAGGTCAATCACTAAAATCTCCTCCACTCAGAGTGAGTCTGCACACAGCAAGCTGGTCTCTGCCTCTGGGCCTCTCTGCCCACACAGCTCTGGGCCTCTGTCCTTGGTGCTGCCACCACTCCAGCCTCTGCTCTGCTCTCCTACAGCCTTGCAGCTGTGCCACTGTGTCGTGCAGAGCACTGGGCGGAGCTCTTTACATAGAGTCAATAACGATGTATTGCCCACACATGTGTAGTGAGCTAGTCAACCACGGCCAGGTGAGAATCCTGGCCACAGGAACCTTCATTTTATCCACAATCCCACAGTACATTCAGCAGTCATGTCTCCTTAAGCTCCTCTTGTTTGTGACAATTTGTTACAACTTTCTTTGTTTTTTTTGATGGTCTTGACAATTTTTGAAGAGTATTGGTAAGGTATTTTGTAGACTGTCCCTCACTTGAGATCTCCTTGGTATTTTCAGGCCACAGAGGTAAAATCATCAAATCATATAAAGGATATATACAATCAATATGATTGATGTTCCATTTTTTATGTTAACCTTGATCACCTGGCTTATTTCCTTCTGATTTGATTATCTTAATTGCCAATACCATAAAGCTGTGTATCTTTCTCTTTCTCATTAACTCTTCTTAAGTCTTGAACCATCAAATTACAAAATCATTTGGGTTAGTCAAACAAGAAGCATTATTTAAAAAATGGAATGGAACAGAAAAGAATATACTAGAATTGAGCTTTTGCTTCTGGCTATAATTAAATAGCATGTAGTAGAGCAATGCTCCCACCACAAACTAGAAAAGCTGGATGTATACACGTACATATTTATACATGCTTGCACACACACACAGCTTTGTTTGAATGTACTGGAGAATGCTGAGGCAAACCAAGACCTAAGTGCAAATCCTTCAGCAGGAGGAAACCATGAGGAGAGCTAAGATGACATTCTGCAGCTGCCTTTTTTTTTCAGGGTTGTGCTGACTTTGGGGAGCTAGGCAAGAATTTGAGAATTCAGGCAGAAGGATAAGGGAGAGGGCCACTACTAAATATAAAGAAAAAAGCAAAGCTTTTAACAGTCTCCCTGTTCTGTTTAGATAAAAACTAGAGACTTGAAAGGTCAAGATTCTGATGAAAAAGGAAGAACAGAACTGGCTCAACAACATGCTATTTTTTTCCTTCAAGATATCTGCTGAATTTGAAGCTGCAAAAAAGGAAATCAATAAGCCAAGCAGAAAACTTCTGAAAAGCAGAGTAGAGTTTAACACAGTCTTATGGTGCTGAGGAGACAAGGATTACAGTTCAAATCATACAGTGGAGAAGGGGCCCCAGTGAACAGGCCAGGCTCTCAGTGGGAAAAACCTGTGTCCTAGAAGCTGGGATGAACTGGAAGATAAAGACTTGGCCAAACTGCAGTTCAGCTTTAAGTCAGTTCAGCATCTGCTTAACATGGTCAGCTCTCATAGTATCTGCCTTGCAAAGGGTGAATCCTCTCAGAGGAAAATATGTCACCCAGAGACTCTGTAAATACTTTCATATACAATGTTCAGTTTATTACTGAATAATAAAAAGTTAGGAGGCATGCTAAGAGATAGGACCAAATGACCTAAAAGAAAAAACAGACAATAGAAATACTCATAACAGGTGAAACCAATACCAGAATTACCTGATAAAAACCAAATAGTTGTGTTTTATATGTTCAAGTAAATAAAGAAAAATCCTTTCTTCAACAATTCAGTCCAAAATCCATTAGTTGGAGCTTAACAGGAAGGCTTGGTGTCTAGAGTTAAAATAATGGAGCCAAAATGGGGTGAGGAAAATGTCTGCATGGGAGGAAGGCATTGCATGGGATGTTGAAGCCTAAGCAAGATAAAGAAGTGGCCAGAGAGGGACATAAGTGCTGGGACACTGACTACACACAAGGGGATTTAACACATAAGAGGTTACGCTGAAGATAAGGGGACCAAGGTTTTGCACTGTTAGAGAAAGCAATTACTAATGTGGAAAGGAAGGAAACTAGAATGAACCTTATGGTGTTGATTTGGGACTGGAGGTAACAGTGAAAACTCGTGGTTTTCAATATATATAGAGAGATACAGAAATACAGATGTAAATGTATGTGTATATGGTTAACTATGTATACGCATACATGTATTTCCTAGCTCTGTCTACACTACACCGTCTGGCAGCAGTGATTCCAACAGCAACAGGTACACCTTGTACTCAGATCTTGGTTTCTAATACTTTTTTTTTACTAAAAAGAACCAGGGTTCCTTGGAGAAATGACTGATTCCAGGGCTGGGCAGTGAAATGCAAGATGAGACTGGAATACCTTATTCCAAAAGTAAGGAAATACTAAAAAAATGATGGAGACATGTCAAAAGAACACATAAAGCAGCCTTGAAAGGAGCTCCCACTGGCCAAATCTGGGACAACTTGAGCATCAGAATAATTATCAGTACAGATGAATTAAAACATTGGATAGGACTCTGTAAATCCATACTGATACACATAAATGATTAAATGAAAGTCTGATGAGGAACAAGATATTTAGATAGTTTCAAAATACCTCCCCACAGAACACTCATTAATTACTATATTAGTTTCCTAGGGTTGTGGTACTAAGGTACCACAAACAGGGTGGCTTAAAACAACAGAAATTTATTATCTCATAATTCTAGAGACTAGAAGTCCAAAATCAAGGTGTCAGCAAGGCTATGATTTCTCTGAGATGGGCAGAATGCTTCCCTTTTCCCAACTTCTGGTGGTGGCCACCAGCCCTTGGCATTCCTTGGCTTGCAGCTACATCACTAAAGTATTTGTGTTGACACATGATTTTCTCCCTGTGTGATTCTATCTCCAAATTTCCATCCTCTTAGAAGGACAAGAGTTATATTGAATTAAGGCCCACCTTAACGGCCTTATCCTGATTACATCTGCAAAGACCCTATTTCCAAGTAAAGTCACATTCACCTATACTAGGTGGTTAGGGCTTCAATGTACCTTTTTAGGGTACCAACTGAACCCATAGCAGTTACAAGGGAAAAAGTTTTCAATGGACAAGCCTGGAAAATGTCACATTAATAAGATATCAAAGACAATATTATAGGTAGTGAAACAAATCAAACTTACGTACTAAACAAAAGGATGAAATGAGAACACAATCACTTCCATGATACTCCTACTAAAGATGTATAACCTTAATCTGATGACAAAGAAATATCACATAATTCCAAATTGGGGGTCACTGTACAAAATATTTGAATTATAATCTTTAAATATATTTAGGTTGTGAAAGTCAAGAAAAAGACTGGGGAACTGTTCCAGATCAAAGGAAAATAAAAAGAAATGCAATAAATGCAACCTGTGATTCTGGATGGGATCTTTAGCTATAAAAACTGATCAACTTGAATAGGGTCTCAGTATTAGATGATAATAGTGTGTCAAAATATCAATTTCCTGATTAAACAGCTATACCTCATAGTTATGAATATAATCATCTGGTAGGAAAATACACATGAAAATATTTGGGGGTGATAGGGTGTCACCAACTTACTTTTAAATGATTCAAGAAAAAAAGGTCTTCATTTGTACTTAAGATATTTAAGTCTGAGAATATTTTAAGATAAAAAAAGAAGACTGAAAAAAAAAAAAAGGAAAGAGAAGAGGAAAATAGATCAACAGAATTTTACCAGAAAAGCGAGTTCTTTCTAAAAAAAAATCAAGCAGCAATTCCAAAACAGAAAAATTAGCCAAACAAAATTAATTGATGGATTTAACAATAGATAACATTTGAGGAGAAGAGGGAATTAATGAAACAGAAGACTGGCTAATAGAAAAATATCTAGAAGGAAGAAGCACTGAGAGAAAAGGGAAGGAACATACAGAAAGGAAAAGGAAAAGACATTTGGAACACAGTAATGAGATCTAATACACATACTAGTAGAGTTCTGGGAGGAGAGAAGAAAGAATGTAATAAATACACTACTTGAAGTGGTTAACAGCTGAGAATTACCCCAAATTTATGAAAGACATCATGTCATTTGTTATGAATTGAATTGGGTCCCCCCAAAATTGTATGTTGAAGTTCTAACCCTGTACCTCAGAATGTGACCTTATTTGGAAAGTTTTTACGGGGGTAATCAAGTTAAAATGAGGTCATTATGATAGGCCCTAATTCAATATGACTTGGTACCCTTTAAAAAAAGGGGAAATCTGGACACACAAACACACAACAGAGGGAAGACAATGTGAAGACATATATGGTGCAAATGGTCATCTAGAAGTCAGAGAG